ATGAGAACAACTTTTGGGAAAAGCAAGGCTATGTGAAATTCAATGGAAACGTCAGCTCAACTCATATCATCGTAGGAAAATTCTTCTTCTACCAGTCCTTCATCACCTTAAACGAAATTGGGTGAATACATCTCATATTGCTTGATTAGTAGTTGAAATTACGATTATAGATCCGACCATGCCAAATTTATCAAGATGTTATTACTTTTGTTACTGCCGCTATTTTAATCTACAAAGACTGCACCCAAGTTACGCGAGGATTTTGTAAGATAGTTTAGATGACTTTCATTTTGTAATACATGCCATCATCTAATCTCAGGAAAAGTTTGTACAGATATAATTTGCACTCCGCTAGAGTAAGTTACCATTCATGCTGGAGTAAAACTCGCTTATGCACGTTTCTGATATTCTGAATATAGGTTTTGCTACATTTCTAACAATATGCTTTCTCGGATTGCTTTCTTATTCAAGTAGTATTTCTTTTCTTGCAATTATTCTTGCTTAGACACTTCTCGAAATCTCACATCCATTTTGAATTTAAGCTAAATTCCTTATCATTTTCACTCACGACCTGATATGTAAAGTAGCATTCATATTATCATGAAATATCAGTTTGATCTTACATAACTTTTGCTTAATTGCACTCCTAAATGCTGTAGGATATAATTTCTTTTAAAAGCCAGTCATTCCTGATAATGAATTATGTTATCATTTTTTTATTTTGAATCTTTTAATTTTTCCATCATTTCGTTATTACTACCAATCTTTAAGCTCATGAGTAGGCAAATCCTACCATATTACATTAATAAGGTAATGGCAAACTTGTCATGTCACTAACTTCGATCTATCATTAACTGATCTAAAAACTAGAGAGCACGTGATGAACTAGCCTAAAACTTCTATTGCTCAACGACGTTGTTTGATTTGGCTTAAAACCATTCCCCACTACCAAAAGGATCTAATAAAATAAGGATAGCTTGATAGGCCCCTAAAAGTTCAAAATTACATTACAGCCAAAAACAGAACCAAGCGACCAAGTCCTACCTGGTACAGTAAAATCTAAGCCATTCATAAAGACTCTTAATAAGTTAACTTATTTCTATACGCACCAAGTGAATCTGACTTAATCAAATCAAATATAATCTAATAATACTTATTTCATATTATAGTACTTGTTTCGTGCTTGTGGTGGAGGCGCCTCCAAGGATTGCCCCGAGCCTGTGATGAACTGGACTAGCGGGGTGCCCTCTAGATGCCCTCTTCATCTTCTCCAATCCGATTTGCTCAACTTGGCTCCTGATTTCTTCAAGCTATCACTGCCACCTCCATCTTCGGACCCATGTGGCCAAATAACTGCCGACAAAGTGAACGCTAGTGTCTTAAGCACTATTAAATGTTCTCCAGAATCGGCGGATCTACTCTTCGATGTGGTGCGACAATCACGTTAAAGTAGGGATATTGGAGCAAAATGGACTGAAAACAATTGGACGACAGAATTTTACTATAACTTTGAGACTAGCATGCAACTTTCGATTTAAATTTCTGTCTTTACGGTGCTCTTAGGTCTACATTTTATCAGCTAAATCTTCTATCTTTTTTATTTCTATGGTCTATTTATTATTTATTATTTATTATAAGGAAATTTGTACAGAGGAGCCATTAATAATGCTAATTTTCATACTTATATGGGTAAATTGGTAAAATAAATAGGAGATTAGTACGCTAGCTATAGATCCTACGCCTAAGTGACTAGCACTCTTCCATATTGGTTCAGATAGTAGGTTAATAAAAAAACGTATTTTTAACATAATCTGCAACACTTAAAAGTATTACATATGCAACCCCTTATTCATTTCAA